TTTAGTAACTAAGTTGTATATTATATTAATATACAAACACATGGAAATTTTCTGTTCGAAGTTGGTCTTCGAATTTGTCATATTGACTGCTGAGCTTATTGTGTTTTTTCATTGTACTGATGGAAATATGACAAATTAAACAATGTGCTTCAGAAATTTTGTGAAATGCAGAAATATTGCAACTCCCATTTTCTTCGAAAATGCCACCTTCTTCATGTACTTTGCGTTTAATTTAATCACTCAAGTGTTTTATTCAAGTATTCTTTTGCTAGCTTGATGTGTATTCTTAATGGGTAAAATGTGAACAAAAAAAATTAATTTTCAAAACTACTTTCAGTAAATTGTTTTCTGTGTGAATATTCAATTTCACTTTAAAAGTTTGAAAAATCTTACATTTAGATAAAAAAAACTTCCAAAATACTTTACAATTATTGTTAAGCGTTCGAGGCCGCACTGGAAGTTCTCTGGGGCCGCGAGTTTGGTCTAGATTGAAGTTGTCCAAAATATATCAGTATTTTATCATGAATCATGATTATACCCTTTCCTGAATTTCTTCTATAGTACTACCAAAAGTTGATGAACCAAATATAACACAGGTGTAGTGAGTGACCCGTAATCCTCATTTTCAAAGCTGTTTTAAGTATGTCTGGCATGTTTTGTGCTTTTTACAAATAAGACCGCTTATGCAATCTTACGCTTTGGAATTTTTAGTTATTTTCCTCAAGCCTGCAGGATGTAGGGGCCATACACAACTCTACCGGAGGGTCAAATGCTTTGCATGCCTCCATAGGTTGTTCTTCTATTGCAAACATTTATGGAGTATTCTAAATATATTTCTTGGAATCACACTGTCACTGATACGTAGCCAGACTTCTGATATCTCCCCTTCTGCTACAGTTGTCCTGTGAATAAATAATAGGAAATTGAGATTAGACGAATAGTTGAAAGTTTTGCTTTATGTCTTATGTTATTTTTGCTATTGCCTCTTGTGCTGCAGGAGTCTCACAATGCTTAGACAGGTTTTCCACAACTTTCACATCTGAAGAAAGAGAGGAGATTTATTAATTTTCGTTAAGAATAAATAAAGCAGTCTATATGATTTAGAATGGAAAAGCTAATAAATCCAATATCTCATGTTTATGTAAAAAATGTTTTACTGAATTTGGTATATAAACCAACTAATAAAAGGGTTTAGTCAGAAAATTACAAGCATTCTTATACTTGAGAGATCAGACTATACAATATAGACCGGTATGAGAAATGTTAGGTGAACTTGTTAACCCTTTGATTCAATACGCAAATAAAAGTATGAGCAATAGTACGTTACAGCAATGAGTATATATACTCATTGTTTAAAAAAAGGTGTATGAACTATTTGAAACCATAAGGGGTAAGTAAATATGCAATTTCGGCAAATGGGCAACTACGTACCGTACTGAATTAATAACTTCGTAGTATTTGACAAAAGCTGGCTTTCCCACATGTACTTAACAGTGCGATGCCCGGGTGTGATATACAACAATAGTATTTACCTTACCTTTTTCCAATTTCTTTTTACCTCAACTTTCCAAAATATCATTAAAATCGACAACAACTGTCAAAGCAGGCACGAACACCATTCGTGCTATTCCTTGAAAGCAGCACACATCCGCTCGTTTTCGTCTCGTCAAGTATGTGCATTGGAGCGTGCTATCGGATACGATCTTCGGCCAAAAATGGCGGAGTTGCGCATCATGTTGTTTAATGTCATTGGTTGACGCATGTTATTTAGTAACGTTTTTTTGTGAAATGTTTGACTGTGGTACTTGATATGGTATATAATTGACTCATAGCACGAGATATTTCAATTGATGTTTCAATATATTCAAGAAGAAATGATCATTGGTACCACGGTACCTCGATACAGTACTGGCAAGTCCCCGCATATGATTTTTAGGGAATTGTCTGCGTGTCCATATATTTGAGCATTGCTCTCTTGTATAAATTTTCATCCGCGTAGGTCACATGAATTAGCACCCAATCAATTACGTCACATTTATGTACGGGTGTACAAATGTACCGGTACGTGGGTGCGGATGTAGGGAGGCGCAAATTTGTTTTTTTTTATGGGGGGGGGGGGGGGGGGGGCAGTGAAACACACACCAGTGAAAACGTCCATGGGTGCCAATTTTCGCGGGTGTCGGTGGGTGCAAAAGTACCGGTATGCAAGTGCAAATGCCCCGAGTTCAGTTTACATGTGCAGATGCTACCGTACCGGTATGACTCGGCAATTCATAGGTGATTTATTTAGTGATAAACCATAGTGTTACAATCCGTCTTAAAATACAAGGCGTGTGGGCACATTTTTTGGGAGGAATGCAATGCTTTGAACTTCCGATTATCGTAGGTATTGGATTATGCAATGAACCGGAATTCGACTGTTAAAGTAGCGTTATATAGACTATCCTACCGTATACCGTATAGTCTATAGCGACTGTTACCGTACCGGTACGATACAGCAATATAAAGTGTACGGTACCGGTACCCGTACCGTAGTGCAGAATGGTAAGCTACGGTATAGGTCTATAATGTATGATCTATGGCTAGACATGAAATAACAAGTCCTTATGTGTGTGTGGTAGGGAGGCCGCTGATTACAGGCGATCAGCTCTATTTTGTTTCTGTGACGTCGCATTGACGTAATTTTTGGATGACCAAGTCAGGTGGGGGTCAGGAATAAATATGCGGAAATTCTTATGCTAAACCTACTAGAAGTTATTGAGGTACGAAACTACACTGGTAACGGTAGCGTATACACACGGGCGTCATTAATACAGTAATACGAGTTCTTTATTGTCGCTGTTATTAGGCAAGTTCTATTTCGTTATTGTGAAGTCGCATTGGCGTAATTTTTTGATGACGAAGTCAGGTGAGGATCAGGAATATTATGTGCGAAAATTGTTACGCTAAGTTAACTAGAAATAATTGAGGTAAGAAACTACATCCATAGGTGCCATTACGAATAACGTCGCTATTATTGGGCAAGCTCAATATTGTGACGTTATTCGTTATTGCAGTATTGTGACGTTGCAATGACAATGACGGACCTAATTTTTGGATGACGAAGTCAGGTGAGGGTCAGGAATGATATATGCAAAAATTGTTACGCTAAGCCTAATAGAAGTTATTGAGGTAAGAAACTACATCCATTGCGCTAAGGCAAATTAATATGTCGGTTTCTGCTTGTCTAAAGCCTTGCATAGAGTGAAAACGTTCCACGTCCTATTAATAAAATGTGGCACAATACATGATCAGTCTCTGGATATTAAATAACAAGTCTTTATGTCTGCGGCACCCAACCTCAGTCATCGCGTGAATTGAATGTTCTTTCTGTTTGTCTAAAGCCTTGCTTAGAGCGGTATCGTATACCACCCTATTAATAGATTGTAGCACAATACATGAGCTATTGCTGGACATAAAATAACAAGTGTGGTACCCAACTTCAACCATTGCGTGAATTAATATGTCCTTTCTGCTTGTCTAAAGCCTTGCTTAGGGAGGTATCGTATACCACCCCATTAATAGATTGTAGCAAACACGATACATAGGCTATTGCTGGACATAAAATAATAAGACTTTATGTGTGTGGTACCCAACCAACCATTGCGTAAAATAATATGTATTTTCTGCTTGTCTAAAGCCTTGGTTAGAGTTGTATCGTATAACGCTCTATTAGATTGTAGCATGATACATGAGCTATTGCTGAACAGAAATTGGTCAGAATTGGATATCGTGAACGTTCTTTGGCGACAATTTAGTCGCTTGTGATCCTTGTTTATTTTGAGCTCTGCACAACGACCCCGATAAGAGAGAGGTCGCTGACGTATTGAGTGTGTTGACATACTCGTAGGCGCCGACGCCGTTACGGGTGACCGTCACTATAGTTTGGCAAGCTGTATTTCGTTATTGTGACGTCGCAGTGACGTAATTTTTGGATGGCGTCATCAGGTGGGGGTCAGGAATCATATATCCAAAAATTGTTACGCCACGCCCACTAGAAGTTATTCAGGTAAGAAAGTACATGAGACCCGTGTGTAATATGTTGTGACGTTTTATAAAGGTACCGTACTGATAGTGATGTTCACAATGTCACGATAAATGTTATATTCCTGTCTTTCCTGATTTTAGATTACTGCTGAAAAGCCCAAGTGTTGGTGTCCAGACTTATGTTTTCCTTCTTACATGCTATATGTGTATACTGTAAAAACTATATACTGTACACCAGGGGTGTGCAACCTGCGAGTGCGACCCGTGGGTCAAATGCGGCCCACAAAAAAAAAATGGGGAAAGAAGTGCCCTTTTTGAATGCCGTGCCTTTGAAACAAGTTTCTAATTTATTTTAATCTGGTACAGTAGTATGCGCAAATAATTCCAATGCCTTTCCAATGCGCTGCAAGAGATTGTGCAAAACAAACAACGCATGTCATGCGATCGAAAACCAAAATTTCTGGGCCTGGCAACTACTAGCAAACCTATCTTAAATAAAGGTGCGGCCCGCGGTTTGACCCAGTTATTAGTATCTGGCCCTCCTCTATTAAAGGTTGCACACCCCTGATATACACTATTAAAATGCAGTAGCCTATCCATGAGTATAGCACAGTTGCATTTAAGTATGTAAATTGATCCATAAAGTAGGTCATATCTTATATTACAATGCTGAAACTTCAAATACTTGCACGCGAAAGAATCATAATTTTAACAGGACATCTTTATAAGATTTAGAGTAATATTGGCATTGGTCCTCGGTAATGTGATAAGAAATGTGATCGCACTAAAGTCATGTTGTAGGAACACACACTTTTGAAATACTGAAATACCTAATTAAAGTAGGCCTACTCTACAAATCCAAGTCTCAAAATCGTTGGAAGGTTGGATTAGGTGAATAGATTTTATCACTTCTCCTATGATCATAATTGTTTCATTTTTTTTAATGAAAAAAAAACATTGTTTCTATATTTCAGATTGTAGAATAATCAATTTTCTACTGCTGATACAGTGATAACAGTGAATATGTCTCAGGTTCGAACAATTTTTGGCTCCATGGAAATTGGCAGGCGGGCTGATATGGAAGAGGGCAAAAAGATGTTGGAAATATTTGAAAAAGAAGGATTTATTGAAATTGACACGGCTTATATGTACGCAGGTGGTAAAACAGAAGTTTTCCTTGGAAATTTGAAAGATGGAATCAGTAAGGACTTTGAATATGCTACAAAGGCAAATCCATGGGATGGAAAAGGTCTGGGAGCAAAAAGTGTGAGATCTCAGTTGGAAACATCACTGAAAAATATGAAAAGAGATAAAGCTGATATATTCTACCTCCATGCACCCGATCATAATACACCCTTGCTGGAAACTTTGGAAACTGTGAATACTTTATACAAGGAAGGAAAATTTAAAGAGTTTGGCCTGTCTAATTATTCGTCTTGGCTTGTGGCAGAAGTTGTTAATGTGTGCAAGCAAAACGGATGGATAAAGCCAACAGTGTACCAAGGTATGTACAGTGCACTCACAAGGATGGTGGAAAAAGAGCTGTTTCCTTGTCTCAGGTATCATAATATAAGATTTTATGGCTATAGTCCTCTTGGTGGAGGATTTTTAACTGGAAAGCATAAAATTGATGATCTTTCAAAGGACGAACCAGGGAGATTTTTTGGAAGTGGAAAATGGGTGACCGCATATCGAAATAGATATTGGAAACAAGAATATTTTGATGCTGTTGAAGCAATCCGTGAATCTCTTAAAACAGCATATGGTGAATCAGTTACAGTACCAGAAGCAGCCATAAGGTGGTTGTATCACCATTCCGCACTCAAAGGTGGGGATGGTGTTATTATTGGTTCCTCAACTGCAAAACATCTTGAAGAAAATTTATCTTATGCCAAGAAAGGTTCATTGGATGATAATGTTGTTGCTGTCATCAATAATATATGGAAAACCACATCTCACTTGTGTCCAGAATATTCAAGATAAGACAAAATTTATTTAATTTCACAATCTTCATCAAATCATCAAATAAGTTTTTCATTATAATGAATGGATAAAGAGTTGTTTTGTAATCTTGTAGGAATTTCACATATAATTTTAATGTCACGTTGGTAGGTCTCATTCGACTGCTTCCGTGTGCCTTTATAATCACACAAAACTCAGTATATAGTCAGATGTTTTGAATATGCATTTCTAGATAATTTTCCAAAAGTAAGGTCACTTGTACTCATTCAGGAGTATCGCTCACTCATCCCTTATGCCAGCTCACGGAGTGTTTGTGCTGATCAAAAAGTGGATATTTGATATTCAAAACTAATCCAATATCTGTTTCAAAGCATAATTTGAAATATATAGGCCTACTTATCGGTATTCTCTTTTGAGCGCATGTTACAGTTACGAGCCTGTACTGTGAATAAATATGCACTGAATATAATGTATTTAATTATTCGCCAAACTGGTTATGCGGAATAACTAAATTAAAAATTGCAATTATGGAAGTCAAGTGTAAATACAGTATAGATTATTGTCATTATTTTTAATTGATATAATAATGAATAACAATCTCACCTAGTGTTAGAGCACCCTTTCTATAGCACTATCAACCAACTTTTCATTTCAACGCAATTAACTTTAAATTTGTGTTCTTCCTGTCATATTTTTGTATCAGATAGGAATGTAGAATTTTTTCTTGATAAATATTACAGCATTACGGTTAGCTTGTATTTACGTACGCGGTCGCGGTACGTACTGAATAATAATTTTAATTTTTCATCAAGGTAATAAGACATGTCGATGTTATAGAAAGCGAGAGTTTTTTTTCCTAATTTTAGCACTGCTTATTTTAATTGTTTGCTTATCCACTGTTATCCATCATAAAGGTCTATTATGTCTTTTGCTTCGAATCAGTCGGTATTCAGGACATCTAATCCTTTTAGGAATTGTCATAGTTTATTTCTTCATTACCATTAATGCAAGTTCTGATATTGCAATGAAAGTAAAATGTAAAATTACTTCTAATAACACGTTCATAATAATATGGCATCTTAGAAATTCTTTCTTTATGTATTCGATGTCATCAAATAAGGCAAATTTGAATGGTACAACTTAAAATCCCTATTATTGAGTGTGAACTATAAATGATTTTGGTGTTTCTTTAATCACATTTTAATTTGTTACTGATTCTACAATTTGTGCAATTTCAGCATAGTTTATGGAGCAAATTTGGTTTATGTAGTTTAATATAATTGTTGCAACTCTGTGATGTCGATGTGTCTTGATCACCCAAGTCCATCCAAATTCTTAGATATTTGGAAATTTTGAAGCATTTTCAGTTGTCATATGTTGTAGAATTTTCTTGGAGATATTACAGAAACAAAGTGAAGGTAACGATAATTATAGGCAATTAAATTTACGATGCTATCATCATTCCTTTATTTCCCTACTACTAATTTTCTGATCTGTTAGGTTAGGCTAGGATAAGTTAGCAGGTGGGGCAGTGTATTTTAATCAAATCTGAAAGAGATAATATTAAGTTTAGAATTGATTAATGATCTCGTTCAGCTCAAGCATCCCATATCTATTTTTGACAAGTCCAAAAATATAAGCATTGTCTTTCATATGTGAAGGATCACTCATAGCTGTTATGATAAGTTGCTGGTGTACCCAGTAAATCAGTTGTATACTAGTTAATTATTTCGTTAGGGATGGTGGGGATGTTGGATTCAAATATTCAAAAGAGGCATACCGATAATTACAGTTACATGTAAAATGGTGATTCAATGGTATTGTAGGTAGAGGGACCAGTGTGCCACCAGTGCACCTGTTTGAGAGGCCAGTACACATTTTGAGACTAGGTTTTACGAGTGCTTGTTTTTCTGTCTCCATTGTGTTGATTTGATGTTTCTGTACTGTGCAAAAGATGCAAGATCAATATAAAATTGATTGAAAGATAAGATAAGCAAACTTAGCTGTTGGTTGTACTTGTTGCTGTTGCTGAAATTGAATAAGTGAATAAAATAGAATTTACAGTGAGAATTTATAGTGGTGTGTCACGGTCCTCACGGACCATGAAGGTTTGAGAAAGTTTGATTACTGTTTCGAGAGATGGAATATTGGAAACACTGCAAAAAGTTTTGGTGCTGAAAGTTCCCAAAGAAGGGTTTGACAAAACCGCTAAAAGAGAATGTGCATATCTTATTTATCCTTTGGACTGAAAGGCAATGTATCAAGGTTATCGATTTGCAATTACCGTACATTATGCATTGGGTATGCAGTTGTCGGATGCGGTCAAAAATCCAGGGCAAGATTCACAGATACTTCGAGTGATAAGAAGTGCATATACTTTCTATGGCATAGAAAAGCTCTGTTGCAAAATCTGCTACCAATTTTATAAATACTGCCTGTAATGGAACAGTTGCTGGTGCTTGCTTTTACGCTTGTTATACTGAGTAAAAAAATCATTGAAGAAGCGCAAACTGTTTTAGATATGTAAAACAGGATGGCAGAAAAAATAATGAACACAGAAAGGTGTTCATTTCTGGTTCAAGACCAATTTTCTGCTCTGCTTCCAATAGAATATAATATCTTGGCTGCAGCACCCAGTATTGCTAATAAAATCGACGGAGTATATCAGACAATGAAGAAATTATTATAAATAAATAGGACAAGGAGAATTTACAAACTGCTGCCAGTACGCCTATGTTTTGGGAAGTTCTACAGCATGGATAAAGAAAATAATTAGAGAATAGCAAGGTCAGGTCAAGATGGAATGGTTCTAATGAAATTCTAACAGATTCTTTATATTGCAAATTTTTTCAAATGATTGAACTTTGTTTAATAATGTTGGAAAGTGCAATTGCAAAGAACGGACTTTGCAAAACCTTTGCAAAATAAAAGGTAGTGAATAATATGTAAATATTGCATAATGATCAGAAATGTTTTTTAAATAACAGAAACACTTCCTTCAGTATCATTTGTTTCATAGATTGTTATTGATAAATTGTCTTTGTTTTACTTCTGATCTTTGGAAGCAGCATGGTGGCTGTCTACGGTATAATTATTAATATCTTCATTGAAGGTGCACAACCTGCGGCCGTCGTGAAAAAATAATGTGGCCATCCACATACAAAATCGTATAAACAAAAAAATTCAAAATACTGGATTTGGCGGCTATGCTTTGCAAACTTTTATAGACTAAATTCATTAAAATATTTGACATTTTATTATACTTATGAGGACAAGAAAATGGGGGCGACCTCCCCCCTCCTCGACTTTTGATTTTTTTCAAAATTGTGCAACCATTATGCAACTTGCTGCAATATATCTGCTCAAGAATAGATCCACCAAAAAAGAAAAATCCGAATATTATACTTACAAGTAGTCATACATACTTCATAATTGGGCAGACTACACCTCGCATGGGTCAAATACGCAGTTATGACGCCATAACCCTCCGCGCTCCTCCAGTGCACTCATCAACCCCCTGGAGGCCGTATTGAATACAAATACATGCAATGTGGCCACCAATAGCAAAAAGGTTGTGCACCCCTGGTTTAGGCGAAAGCATAGCTCCAATGTCTAAAGACCTTTAAGAATTATTTAACAATTGCTTTTCTCTGCTTAATTATTCTTGCATCATTACCTGGGCTCTACAAGCATCATCAACTGGAACCTTGTCATGTGAAAGGGTAAAGTGGTTCCAGATTATTTTTCTTAGATTAAGGTTCTCAAGAAGAGATGGTGAAGCTACAACAAAGCAATTTTTTTATTTGAATAAATATATGTCCCATCTTCAAAATTATCTCTGTCATTAAGTGCTATGCGCTATTTTTAAGGCATTTTAAAAAATTTTCATTCCAATTATGCCAGACCCGGGCTTGGTTTATGTGACATTTTGTGCTACTGACTAAACGAAGCGTCGATGTCATTTGCCGCCGAGTGGTAAACACCATAATGTTTAAATTTACAAGTGATAAACACAAACTCGTTACAATATATGAACGCCATTTAATTTTACTCCAACTTGTCCAAGCAATACCTCGAAATAAGTGAATAACAACTCGCAGACAAATATTATAACGCAGTTAAACAATGTTATAAAAGGATTAATAAATAACTTGTTATACATACCGTTAAAGAACTGCCCGACGCAAAATTCATTTTTTCTTTTATTTTTCAACGAGTACTTGCGATGTATGCTAGAAAGTTCTTCGGACTTCGATATTGGGAATTCCATACTACGCGCTTTTTCCTTTCTGTTTCACGAATTTGCTTATTTTGCCTTTTTATACCACGACAATACCCATCACCTAGGTATCACCATCATTCATGTACAAGGGCAGATTAGACTATTACTATACTTGTATTGACAAAACTCCCCATAATATGACGATCGCAACATGAAAAGTGGAATTGCTCGTTGGACAAGACGTTGCCAAAGACTCGTTTTAACAACGTAAAATATAGCGCCTTGTTGGCATTACCTTGGTTCTTTTTTAAAAATGACTGATCTTCAACATGTTTATGGTGGCTGCCAGACGTGGGCTATGCGTCGTAATTTTTATAGGATTTGTCAGTTCTCACTGGTGTTTTTGAAATTTAAGGTGGCTTTTGTGTCTACCTACTGGCTGCAAGACATATAAACGTATAATTTGCGACTCTCGGTTGAGAACTCTTGAACTAAAGTAGTGCTGTCATGAAGTTGTATCTTGGGTAAATTTTTCTCCCGTAAAATTGTGAAAATAATAGGTGCCACTCTGCTCAAGTTTAAACAGTTTAGCGACTTAATGGTGTCGTACAAGTTTATGGTGTAGATATTGCCAACGTTTTAAATAATTGGTTTGCCATTGCCGACCGACTGCTGATAAGGGTAAACATGTCCCGGGTTAGAACAATTTTTGGCTCCATGGAGATTGGCAGGAGAGCTTATATGGAACAGAGTAAAAAGATGTTGAAAATATTTGAAAAAGAAGAATCTATGGAGATTGACACAGCTTATCTGTACGCAGATGGTAAAACTGAAGTTTTTCTTGGAAATTTGAAAGATGAAATCAGTGAAGACTTTGAGTATGCTACAAAGGCAAATCCATGGGATGGAAAAGGTCTGGGAGCAAAAAGTGTGAGATCTCAGTTGGAAACATCACTTAAAAATATGAGAAGAGATAAAGCTGATATATTCTACCTCCATGCACCCGATCATAATACACCCTTGCTGGAAACTTTGGAAACTGTGAATACTTTATACAAGGAAGGAAAATTCAAAGAGTTTGGCCTTTCTAATTATTCGTCTTGGCTTGTGGCAGAAGTTGTTAATGTGTGCAAGCAAAACGGATGGATAGCACCGACAGTTTATCAGGGAATGTACAGTGTGCTGACAAGGATTGTTGAAAATGAGCTTTTTCCCTGTCTCAGGTATCATAATATAAGATTTTATGGCTATAGTCCTCTTGGTGGAGGAATTCTAACAGGAAAGCATAAAATTGAAGATTGTTCGAAAAAGGAACCTGGAAGATTCTTTGGCAATGGAAAATGGGAGATTGCATATCGTGAGAGGTATTGGAAACAAGAATATTTCGATGCTATTGGAGAAATCCGTGAATCTCTTAAAACAGCGTATGGTGAATCAGTCACTGTAACAGAAGCAGCTATAAGGTGGTTGTATCACCATTCTGCACTCAAAGGTGAATGTGGGGATGGTGTTATTATTGGTTCTTCAACTGCAAAACATCTTGAAGAAAATTTATCTTATGCCAAGAAAGGTTCATTGGATGATAATGTTGTTGCTGTCATCAATAATATATGGAAAACCACATCTCACTTGTGTCCAGATTATGCAAGATAAAATGAATCTCAGATGATAACTTTTTAAATATAATTCGATCATCAGAATTGCTTAGTTTTTATGGCACTTCATATATAATTACAATATCATGATTTTTGATCTTGCTTGACTTTTTTCCAGTGCAATCCTAATCTATAATGTGCCTATTGTAGGAATGCTCAATTTTCTATGATTTTATATAATTGTTCTTATTTCTTTAATGACACTATCACTGTCAGGCAACTTTTTATTACAATCATGAATTCTGAAGTGTTCCTGCGGTAATTGTTGACTTGTTGTATTGTTTTACTCGTCAATTTTGAATTATTTTAACATTCTAATAGCATGTTATGTTTCAATACATGCCAAGTAATATTTTTAATATTCTATCAATTTTTTGAGACTTGTTATATAGAGGCAGAGGTAGTTTGTTCATCAATCCCAATCCAGACTATATCATCAAATCTTATTTACATTTAAGCCTTAAATCAGATGGTATCCGAAAATAACTTAATTTTTTCAAAATTGTCTCTAGTTTTTTACTACAAGTTCACAGATTCTGCTTCAAATCCATAATGTCAACATTTCAATTGTGATTACTATCATTATGTATGCATTTTTATTGAATTATGCAATTGTTATACAAATTTAAACAGGACATCTTTCATTAAATTATCTCAATTGTCTTTTATTAAGAAGCGTTAGCAATGAATATTTAAGATGCTTTTGTTCTCTTGTTTCAATTTGGTATTGATTCTAAAACTTGTACAATTTCAGCATAACTTATACCTGGCTGTAGGTCATATTTAGTGTTAATTTTATTATTGTATCTGTGTGATGCCTATGTATTCGACATCTGTATTACATTCAAAGTCTTAAATATTTCAACATCTGGAAGGATCTTTGATTCGTCTGGTGCTATTTCTTGGGAATATTGCCATTTGCCAACACAAAGATTTTTTGAATGATGGAATGAAAATTGCGAAGGTAATATAAATATTGGCATCAAAATTCTGTGGAACATAAATGAATTAATTGCTTTCTCGTGTTCATACACCATCCAATTTTTCTACATTCAGGTTCAGGAATTCTAATGGTAACAACTGTTCATGAAAGATACAAAATCATCATTGATGATTTTATAAATTGTCATTTAGGTCCATCATTTATTATTATATTTATTTTAGAAATTCTTCTGTACTGAACAGTCACCATAGTTATGCCAGTGTTGGGCATTATATACTTATATTTTTTATTCTCTATTCCGGAACAGACCATCAACATCACAGTATAAAATATATAAATTGCTGATTCATAATTACGTATGTGGGGGAAGTGAACTAACGAAATATCGACAATACAAATGTCTGTTTTAAAGACAGTTCTTGGTTCCATGGAGTTTGCTGGCAGGGTTATGCTACCAGAAACTAAATTGATGCTCCATTTATTCCAAAAATACAATGGTGTTGAAATAGACTCTGCTTTCATGTATGAAGATGGAAAATCTGAAGAATTTCTTGGAAGGTTGAAGGACAAAACATCAAAAATTAATTTTGAATATGCCACAAAAGCTAATCCTCTCGAGGGAAAAACACTTGGTGCAAAAAGTGTGAGAGTTCAGTTGGAGACGTCGCTCAAAAATCTCCAAACAGATTCTGTGAGTATATTTTACTTGCATATGCCAGATCATCATACACCATTGAAAGAGACATTAAAAGCAGTAGATGAATTACATAAGGAAGGAAAGTTTAATGAATTAGGATTATCCAATTATTCCTCATGGCTTGTGTCCGAAGTTGTCAATTTGTGCAAGCAGAACAACTGGATTCAGCCCACAGTTTATCAGGGAATGTACAGCGCTTTGACTAGAATGGTAGAAAAAGAATTACTGCCCTGTGTCAGGTATCATAACATGAGGTTTTATGGATTTAGTCCACTTGGTGGTGGGCTTCTGACAGGAAAACATAGAATAGAAGATCTTCATGACAATGAACCTGGACGATTTTTTAGTGGAAAACGAGTTGATATTTATCGTAACAGATACTGGAAAAAGGAATATTTTGATGCTGTTGGGACTCTTTCTGAGGCAATTTATTCATCTTATGGTAATTCTGTTTCCATTGCTGAAGCTGCCATAAGATGGTTATATCATCACTCTGCACTTAAAGGGGAATATGGTGACGCAGTTGTAATTGGTGCCTCCTCTGTCGACAACCTTAGTCAAAATTTGTTATATACTACGAAAAGACCTCTAGATGAAAATGTGGTTTCAGTCATAGATAATATATGGAAAAGGACATCTCATTTGTGTCCCGATTATGCAAGATAACTTATCTTGTAGTATAAATACTGGTATTCCTATACTCATCAACGTCTCTTCGCAGACCTTTTTTTACTACAATCATGGCTCTCCTATTCTACAAATTCAGCAGTTTATTACTTGACACTATGATACACTTTGTAAATGATTACCTCAATGATTGCAGATTTAATGATAAACTGTGTAAATAAGCTTGCTGTGAGTGACCTTACGTACTGCATTTAGTCTGCAAATGTTTATTGCTATCAGTTAACTTTTTATAAAAATTGTTAATATTCAGTATCCTCGCCTCAAATTGTTATTACTCATAAAGCAAGATGTCATCAGTAAAGACGGTGTTTGGATCTATGGAAATTGCAAGACGAGCTGATATGAAAGAAAGCAAAAAAATGTTGGATGTGTTCCATAATTATGGTGGCAGAGAGATTGATACAGCATATGTTTATGGTTTAGGCAAAACAGAAGTTTATCTTGGAGATTTAAAAGACGAAATAAGCAAAGATTTTGAATATGCTACAAAAGCAAATCCTTACGAAGAAAGGACACTCAATGCTGGTAGCGTTAGGTTACAGTTGGAGACATCTCTTGAAAGATTGAAGAGAAAGCAGGTAGATATATATTATCTTCATGCACCTGATCATGTTACTCCTCTGACTGAGACTCTAAAAATCATTGATGTTTTGCATAAAGAAGGAAAATTTAGTGAGTTTGGTTTGTCTAACTATTCTGCATGGCAGGTAGCTGAAATTGTTAATTTGTGCAAGCAAAATGGATGGATTCAACCTACAGTATATCAAGGGATGTATAACATTCTGGAAAGGTTAGTTGAAAAGGAACTTATATCTTGTCTAAGATACTACAAAATTCGTTTTTATGCCTACAGCCCACTGGCTTCTGGTATCCTGACTGGAAAACATAAAATGGAACATATTCCAGAAAATATACCTAGTCGTTTTTCCACTGGAAAATTTGCTGCCGTATTTCGGAATTTATATTGGAGACCGGAGTACTTTGACGCTGTTGAAGATATCCGCACTGCAGTGTCTTCTGTGTATGGATTTTCAGTCTCTCTGACAGAAGTAGCAATGCGGTGGATTTACCATCATTCCGCACTTAAAGGTGAATGTGGGGATGCAGTTATATTGGGTGCATCATCAGCGAAACAACTAGAGGACAACTTGGAGTTTACAAAGAAAGGTCCACTTGATCCCAGTGTTGTTTCTGTCATTGAAAATACTTGGAAATTTACAATGAGAATTTGTAGAAATTATGGACTTTAAATTAAACATGTCCAATATCAACATGTCCATGACCTTTCCATCCTCGAGATTTCTTCATTTTAATTTACGGTACTCATTAATTAGAATACACATTTTATGCCATGCACCAGATGGTGTTAACATGTTATTCCAAATCTACCTGGATGTCTGCTTACTGAGGAATATTTTATAGGTTCTTTAACTACTAACAAACTTATATTGAAAATATTTATTTTTCACCATTTATAGATACCATAGGGAAAATTATGTACTTTGAATCGGATTTCTCAAGAACTAGTGCCTTATCTACTGTATCATTTCATTTGCTTCTTAAAATTAAATTCCAAATATGTCTAAATTTGTATGGTTATAAGTTAAGTAATATGTTTTTGCACTGTTGTTAGATTATATAGATGGGCTGTTTTTTTCATGTTTGAAGTTTGTGAATTGATGTTGTCATTTGTTCCTGCATAATGGCATATTCAGATCATGATATTTAGGTATACATATACAGAGATTTTGAGACGTACCAATAACATGAGTATTTCAGGCCTTGGCCTTGCGTAGCTCTTTAACAAATTTTATTCTGTGATGTTTTTTGAGTCTGATCATTGATCACTGTTGTGAACTACTTTTCTACAAGAGTCTGTCTTTGTTAATAATTCCACTCAGTATAACCATTCTCTCATTTTACTGCATCCTTGCAGTCATACAGCTATTATCAAAAAAATTCATCTTATATCTAATTTTCTGTAACATGTTGTATCACTGTAAGTTTTATTTATCAAGTGAGCATCAATATTATCGCTTATCAGTATATTAATTAATTAGTGGGGGAATATAATTTAATTGATTCAATTTTCTAATTCAGCAATATACTAATATACTTTGATGTAAAAATCTAATTTAATAAATGTCGGGTGAAAAGTCCATGGAGGAAGTGATGGGGTTTGGCGGGTTCGGAAAAAAGGCAAAAACTTTCGATTTGGATGCATTATTTGAAGAAACCAGGAGAAATGCTCAGGAAAGAAGTAAAAAAGTTTTAGGTGAGCTGCAACAAAATTTTTGATTTCAATTGTTCAACATTCAACAAAGAATTTCACACAAACCATCATTTGTAGAAATAATATTTGGTGATGCAGAAAGTTTGAAAAAACATTTGCTTTGTGTAATACAAAATAAAACTAATTTCATTTTTAAGTCAAATGCTCAAAGATATCAAATTTTCAAATAGGAAAATTTAAATTGTTGTTAAAATCAAGAATAACAATCAAGATGTGACATTGTGTGCAGACCAAAGACTCTGTTAATTTCAATTGAAACCATTGTGATAAAAACATCATGCAACCATTTTGGTCTTGTTTTGTTGATATTATAATATTGCATATAGGCTATAAACTTATCCATTCTTGATAAATATTTATTCAGAAGAAAGAGAGAATCCAAATGAAGAAAAGCAAGATGCACAGAAGTAAGATTGCGATTTTCTTGAACACTCTTAAAAATAATGAGCAAGATTTTTTGAAAAAACTGTAACGAACATTTGCTTGATTACCAATTTAAAGATAACAAGCTTCTATTACTGTTGCCATATTTGAAAATTACATTGTCATATTTCGATATAAATCATGCTTTATGTTTGATATGAAACAAAATTGACTAGCAGGCGCCATGACCTAGCGTTTTACTTACCTGTGTTGGCATCACAGATAACAAATCTTGTGTTCAATAAATCCCATGCCCACCTCATCACCAATATGTCATTAATTAGGTGAGCATTGGGCAATGTCAAAAAATTCTGGTTTTTACAAAATAGTAGTTGTATAGAAACCTCATTTTGTGCCTTCAACAACTCATGGTCATTTTAAAAGCCGTTGACTGTAAAAGGTTTTTCAAACTATGTAAATTTATAGACCATCCCTATCGAGATCTGAGTGTTATACTTTGTTGTTATTTGGACACAAAATGGATTGTATTGATAAATTGATGTTGTTGAGATGAAACTGCAGCAGTTAATAAGATTGTTTTAGTGGCAGGGATGGCCTATCTGTAGAAGTAGTAGAATTAACTGTCTTGACATCACAGATTACATATGGTATTTTTGGTTTGAATTTCATGCCCACCATCTCACTCAGGGTGTGAGAAATGGGGTATAGAATGCTAAACCGGAAAGATTTGGGTACTTAAAAATAATAGTAACTCCTCACATATCGATAGGTAATAATGTGACAGTGGCTTCGTTTATAGGGCCTTGTTTGGAGTGGTGTTGCAATATAAAAAATGCTCATGTATCCGAGCATTGTTCTTTTCTTTTCAACCAAGTTTGATTTCATTTGCAGGGAAGGGAGTGATGATGAATTTATTGGGCCTCCTATTCCTTCCGGAATCGACAGTCAAACTACTGACAATATTGAAGATGATAACTCAATCCAGCAAGGATCTTCCAAAGCTGAAGGTCATGTTGATCCCACTGATGATGGAGAAGTAAGTCATTGGGGGGGAGTCAAATTGGGGGTGAAAACCTGGATGGGGGTTACCTGTGTTTGAGTGTGATGTGGTATTATGAAACTTGTTTTGTATATAATAAACCAACTGTACAAGGATATAAAAACCTGGTTCAATTGTTATATAAAAATATTGATTGTTTCACAGCTTGCCGAATTTCTTTTTGTCAAAAGCGTGAAGTTTTCAGTCATGAGTTAGACTCAGTAGTGAAAAGTCAGATTAGTTAAGCCAAAAACATTATTTCCTAAACTGAAACCTATCGGATTTAAAAAAAAAGGGGGTTTTAGACGTGATTGCTATAAAAAAAAAAAAATGAAGTAGATCTTAGGATGTCCAAAGCCCGTTTGCGACAACCAAAAAACTAGAATTCGGTTGGAAACCTAAGACTTATTGATCGAAGGTTAGGGGATCCCCCAAAACAGTGGTCTTACTCCATAGTGACACTGTGTGTCCCATCACTGATTAATTAATAACTCGCTAATTAGATGACATAATCCATCCAAAATCAATAGGCTTCTGATCCGAGCTAAGATGAATGCACATGCAAAATATGGAGCAGATTGAACCTCGCTTTCGTGAGATATCGCGTGCATCTAACACACAGACAAACAGACAAATACCTATCAACATACTTACCGATCAAGATCGATAAGTAACAATGGTTCATGACATGCGTATTATGTACCTAGTTCAAAAATTTGCATTCATGAGCTCCAACATGCCACTCGCGTGCTTTGATCATGGAAATTCACAAATGGTTCTGATCAAGCATTGAGCACGCAATACCTAATAAATATTTGTCTATTTACAATACATGTATCTACTCTGAATTAAATCTTTGTCGGGCATAAAGTAGCAAGAGGAATTATTTGTTTTATAATCTAATTTTTCAGAATATCACAGTAGTTCCTGCAACCCACGAGATAACCCTCACACACGGAGTGAAAGCAGTTTCTGCTCTTGCATTGGATCCCGCTGGTGCTAGACTTGTAACTGGAAGTTATGATTTCGATGTTCATTTGTGGGATTTTGCTGGCATGGACAACAGCCTTCAGTCTTTTAGACAGTTTACACCCTGTGAGTGGTAAGAGTAATTCTAATGTAAAATATTTTTTGAATAGTGTGAAATATTTATATTTGTGGTAATGGAAAACATTGGTTTTGCTCAGTTACTGTTTGTCTGGTATAGCAGAGACGTTGTCAGTAAGTCCTTCTAAATAGGGCTTTAAACAATGCCTATGCTATACCTAGAAAATTAGCTTGCAAAAGAATCTAAAACATTATTGGAAACAATGTCCATGATTATGCCACTTGCTGACTCATTCATTTTTTAGTGTTATGGATTTTATACAATCTAAAACCCATAGTAGCCTATTAATTATGATATCATAATCTCTAAAACCCATAGTAGCCTATTAATTATGATATCATAATCTCTAAAACCCATAGTAGCCTATTAATTATGATATCATAATCTATTCAACGTAAGTGCATGATTGTGCATTGCTTTCATTGCTCGCTGTATCAGTGTACAGCACGTTAGGAATTGGACAAAAAAACAACACTACAATCAACACACAACAAACAACACTTAACAATCCGAGAGACGTTGTGTGGCAAATTGTCTGATTTGCAACACTGTTTCTGCTCTGCTGTCGTTTGTGTTCTTTTAAAAAATATCAAGTTATCTGTAAAAATATCTCAATATCCCTATGTTTACAAATGATTTAGGTAGAAAAGCAAGTTGATTGAACATACTTCACGAATAACCCTTTTTATCATCATAATTCGGTAATTTCAAACAGAACTCCCTTGAAACTGAGAAGGGATATAATGGAACATCATGTTTTTCATCTGTGCACAGAGTATCCTTTCTGTGTACAATGCCTAGTATAAGTATACAATGACTGCAAGCCATGATCAATGAATTTTTCAATCAGTAAAAGTAATTTTATTATTATTAATTCTAAAATATTGTTTTAGTCATCAGATAAAGAATATTCAATACAGTAGCACTGGAGAGAATGTGCTGATTGTTGCAGGAAATTCTCAAGCTAAAGTTTATAACAGAGATGGATTTGAAGTTCTTGAATGTATAAAAGGAGATCAGTATCTTTCGGACATGTATAGAACTGCGGTTCGTATTTCTTCATTGCTGTGTGGCCATCAAGTTTCAATATTGTAATACAATCGTAAATTGTTACATCTGCTTGTCACTCATGCTTATGTGATCAATGCCAGTAATTATTTATGTTGTGTGATCATTTAAATATATGTGTGATGATCAAAAAATTTAAAAAACTATATTACGCATAGAACATAAATAAAACTTTTTACTTTTTAAAACCACATTTTGTATTCTATCAACAATTCTCAACTTGACTAACACATTTTACACCAAGTAAAATGTAGAACTACCGTATTTGATCGTTTTGATGCCCGGGCCCATATTCAAACCGGCCCTTATTCAAGCACGGGCGCTTGTTATTTTCGATTGTTACAATAATTAATATATTGTTATTTCCAGTTCTCAAGTATGATTTAAACAAGAATAACGATAATTTTGACTTTTTCTACGCACCGCAGGTACAAATCCGCAAAAGAAGAAAAGTTTTGCGACGCCCTATCAATATTGAAACGACGCACTAGGTCGTTGCGATGCCCAGTTAGGAAACCATGGTGTTACTTAATCAATGCTATCTGTTATGTACTTGGACGCCTAAGGCGTGAGTGTGATCTACCGGCGCTTAAAATTCAACAGCGTTGTGACAAAAGCGCTTCTTATTTCCTATTGTTCTCTACCACTGAAAAATCAGCTTTTACATCGGGCGGATATTCAAGCACCGGCCCTTATTTATTTTTATGTTCTGTTCACACGGGGGCTATTCAAACGGGACCTTAATCAAGATCGGGCGGTAAAACGAGCATATTCGGTATGCCCTTATTCAATTTTCCAAAGTTTCCTTCGAGCTCTGCAAGTTATTTTTTGACCATTTAGTATCTGAGACACAAATATACTGAACCACAACGCTTAATAAAATATGAATACAGTTGAAATTCATCACTTTGATTGCTCAATATATATTTGAAGTTTTTTAGTAATAAAGTGATTTTGTTTTTGTATATTTGTCATCAAAAATATATTGTGGTGGTTTTCTTAAAAACTATCACTATTTTTCAATCCTGAATTTCTCGAAAATATTCCTAGTATATTATTTACCATGAATAGGAATCAGGGATGTATCAAATATTCACATGTATTTTGCCTTTGGTTTTTGTAGGCCATCTTCGAACTGTAAAAAATAGACTTCAAATCGCTGTTTATTTACAGAAATTTCCATAATTAAATGCATTGAATATGCATGGATATTCACATGTTTTGGGTTGAAAATTAACCAATTTAAAAATGTGTGCAAAATCCCACATTTGGAAAATATTATTTTGGCATATAAACGGAATTGGTCATTATTTGCCCATTTTCGAATATACCTACCGTAAGTCTTCTTCTAATGATTGTCATCATTGTCTGTTTTAGGGTCACAATGCTATGTTAAACAGTGGATGTTGGCATCCTAAAGTTAAAAGTGAATTCATGACTTGTTCTAATGATGGCACAATAAGAACATGGGATGTAGGTTCAGAGGGGAAAAAGTGCAAGGTAAGAGTAATGCTCAATAAAATGATTCTACTGTGCTGAATACCATCATTCTTTATTAAACAGTATATTTTCTATATAGTGACTTTCAAATATGGTGCGTTTAAATATTTATCACAGCCAGTTACTTTTGTATAGGACTTTGAATTCAAGTTCGATGTCTTAGATCAGTGCTTCCCAACCTCTTATGTGGCTCATGGCACCGTTACGAAGGCTTTTAGCATTCATGGCACAGAATAATTTATGAGATTTTCATATCCCCATCACTTCTTCCTAATTTTAATGTTGGAGATTTAAGGACATCAATCGTTACTGTTCAACTTGACAGACATAACTTTTTTTCTTCACTGCTACATCTTTTCTTCTCATGTAGAGCGTAAGGAAATGTAAAGACAAATCAGGTCGTCGTGCAATACCGACATCCTGTTGTTATAGTCGTGATGGAAAACTTCTCGCTGCTGCTTGCAACGATGGTTCTATTCAATTATGGGATGAAAAAATGAAGGTTTGTCGTTTTTTGTTTTCTTTATCGATGTTACTCTAGTTGAATTTGTCATTTTACATGTAGTCAAAGTGTAATTTTGCAGTTGTTGAAGTAAACCTGACAAAGCTACGAGGGATGTAAAGATGTCAGAAAATTTTTCATTGATTTTGCAAAACACTTTGTTTTCATGTGGTTTCTTTAGTCCTGTTCCCATTGATATTAGAGTCGAACTTCGAGGATAGGATTTACATATTTATCCCTGCTTGTGAACCCACGCAGAGAAATAAGAGGTGTGGTGTCGAGTGTATTCCTAACACTTGGCACGATGCGCCACATCGTCGAGGTCAAGAGTCACTAATTAGTAGTAATCAATGTCAAAATTTACAATTTAAAAAAGACAATGGAAGAAAGTTACATCACGGTTTTTATAGTCTGGATTTGGTTTCTCAGAATTAGGACCTTGAGTCGGGTCAAAAATGTTTAAACTTAGTCTCGATTGCCGAGTCTTGAGTTTAATAAAGACTCAAACTCAGCATAATGTTCACAAGAATTTCATTCAATTATAGATTCCGTAATGGAACCAACTGTACATTCCAGGTCCACACTTCACATATATTGCATGGATGTCATAGTCATGGTACTGATACATCATCGATATGTTTTTCATACAATCAACATTCTTTTTGTACGAGAGGAGGAGATGACACTGTGAAAATGTGGGATATTCGACAATTTAAAAGACCGACTGCCGTTGCACAGAATTTAGAAAACTTTTTCCCCATGTAAGTCTAGTGACTACATGATGATTTTTATGAATTCTCATGCATTATGTTCCTCATTTTGTAAATACATTCAATAACTATTTCTGGTCCCAATAGAGTAACTATGGTATATCCCCGAACATTACATACTCTTGATTATGTTTTATAACACAACAATTTGTTGCAAATGCGGTAAAATAGGAGGTATAATATAAATAAGTGTGTAGTTCACCATATCATAAAGCAGTCTCATCAGGCGCTGGAGATAAACTTTTCAGAGCAATGGACCATTTTTATAGCAAATTACTTTGTGTATTGTGTGTATTGTTCTGCAAAATTTTGTTGTTCTTGTTGGGTCGTTGTTGTTGTGATAAAAATAGGCCGATGTGAATTGCTACAGTGGTTGAAGATGGAATCTGTTTTGAAATCTTATTTTAATTTAACATTGCACTTGGTGGGCTGCACATTCCTTGTATAGTTGGTCTAAAAATCCAACCCAATGTTCACATGACAACCCAATATGCCCTCCAAAACACGCTGTTTATATGACAATCCAATATGTTTCTGTAGAGGAAACCATGCAAAGGCGCTTGCAGCTATTATCTATCATTATTAATAACTTGATGTTTTTTACACAGGACTGATTGCGTATTTAGTCCAAATGGAAAGTTGGTTGTGACTGGGATATCTGTGAGGAAGGGTAAAGGACCAGGAAAACTTATATTCCTTGATTCTGATAGTTTGGAGATTCTTAATGAGATGGAAATATGTGACACTGTAAGCACTTATGTCATAACATGAATAGAAAATGAATTTGTGTTTAATATGAGAATTAAAATGATTGTCAACTCGATTAAGACTCGACCAGACCCGAACTCCATTCTGAATAGGCCGCATTTATGCTAATTTAAATGTTGTCATTACATTATCAAATATTGGTACTCGATTAATTCTCGAAATAACTTCGCTTTAACAGAATATGAAAGTTTCAAGTCCTGTGTTCATCCATGTTCATGAAATTTGCTAATGACTAAAAAACTACTTGTGGGTGACAGTTGTGACTTCTGACAAAATAGCTGTAACTCTTCTTGAGTAGGTGTCCTATGAGTGAAATAACTCAACTCATCTTGAGGGTCAAATTTAAAAATGTATACTCTGATGCCCGATGATAAATTTTATTCATAACCACAACAAGTTTTTATGGATTGCCTCTACTGAATTATTGCAAAATTTGAATTCAAAAAATAGTGGACGAATTTATCAATTCGTAGAATGATATGATATGACCACTGGCCAGGTTGGTTATGTAATTAAATAAATCCAACCAAATTCAGGACAAAAATATAATTTTTTGTGCAGATAATGCCTTGCGTTTATACCAGAATATACTGTATGTTGTTTACATTTAACATTTCACTTCTAAATATTTCTGGATATTTATCATGATGATAAGCAGATTGCAAGGTATCACTATATTAAATATTGAACTTCTCTAACACCTTCATATTATGAGTGAATGTTAATAAAAAATCTGGTGGTATCGGGTAACTATGAAGGCTAGGAAGTCTGTTGGGGTCTGTTCTGAAGATACTTCTGCATTCTTTTTCTGTTCCTCATTTTCTACTAAACCATTCAAAGTGGGCTCATTTCAACATCTGGAAATGGTGAAACATTGCATACATTTCGGTTGGTCATGGCGGATATGATTCCCATGTAACAAGATCATAATTTTTGCCATGTTGCTGTTTCCTAAAGTGCTTTGTTCAGTAATAGAAAAATTCTGTTTTTTTTCAGAGTGTTGTGAGATGTTTATGGCATCCCAAACTTAATCAAATCATGGTAGGAACAGGAGAGGGAACGGCTAAAGTTTTCTACGATCCAAAAAGAAGTGTTCGAGGAGCTAAACTTTGTGTTGTTAAACGAAGACAAAAAACTAATCATGCCGAAGTTTTTATCAGACATAAAATTATTACACGTAAGTCATTTACGGTATATATATTTATTTTACAATATAATATGAATTAGTTTCGTTTGATTTTGAATGGAATTATGAAATTTTTTGATAAGATTGAAAAATACAAAATGAGGTCAAATGAACTGTAATGGAAAAAATTTACATCCAAGCTCAAAGAGTGAATATAGGAACTCTGATACAATCCTGTGATACGCAAAGAAGTAGTTTCTAATATCTGTTTCGAATAGGCTCTCACAGACGACTTCATGTTATGTTGGAAGTCGTGGGGCCATGCAGTTACTAGTCAGTCCCTGAAGTGTAGCGAAACATTTAACAATTGTTTATTCTGAAAATATGGACCTGATGGGGGAAGAACCAACCTGCCAAAGCCAGAAGTACAGCATAACTATCCCTTATGGAAGGAATTCGATCTAGCTAAACTATGATGCAATGTTAACACTTGACTCAATGCATCAACTCAGAACCCGTCTCAATTCCATGAAGGACAATATTAAATCTTGACCTAATAATATTGTTATATTCTTTAACAGCATACTCACTACCAATGTACAGAGAGCAACGGGAGAGAAGTACAAAGAAACAATTGGAAAAAGCAAGAAAGGATCCAGTTAAATCAAGAAAACCACAACCACCATTATCAGGCCCAGGTTTGTTTCCAGATCTACTATTCGAGATTACGAGAGAATGTTCATGAAAGTATTCCAAGTCTTCATTGGATCGGATCTTTTGTGATTGGGATTTATGAGATTCCGCTTTCGCATTAAACTGACTTTATACAAAGTTCAGCGAACGAACCCCTAACTTTTTTCATTCACACGATGTCACTGTTAATCCACTTTTATTTCATATCACCTTCTTCAGGTGCTGGTGGTCGAATTACTGCTCACGGCGGCACTTTATCATCATACATCATGAAAAATATTGCTAAGAATACAGCTGATGATTCAAATCCCAGGGAAGCAATTTTACGTCACGCAGAAGCTGCGGTTAAAAATCCAAAATGGGTTTCTCATGCTTATGTTGAGTAAGTATATTATGATTACTCTAAATATTGTTGATGTGACATCAAGGATGGCCAAATTCGAATATTTTGTTATTTCGAATACATTCTGGGAAACTATTTCTGAATACCGAATATTGAAATACATTCTAACATGGGGCAATTTCATGTGGAAAGTTGCATAAATCACAATATATTTCTGTTGATCATATCTGAAACAACATTGATATAAAAGTTATAGTGTTTTGTGTGTTGTTTGTTACCAGTTGAAATATTATGTGTTATGATCTGCTTGTCTGATAGTCAAAATCCCTAATTTTTAAATAAGATAGTTTTAAATTATTTAAATTAAAATAAATTAAAAAATGAAAATAAAATAATGAATACTGTATTGAATGTATTCAAACATTTGATTTGTTTTGGGCATTCCTGTGAGACGCCAGTGGTCTTTTTTCGGGCGCTCCAGAAGTGTGTGTGCCAATATGGTTGTAACTGATTTTGTTCGCCTACTTTACACCAAGTTGTGTAAAGGGACTGAAACCTATGGGCCGGGGTATATTCACTTGGCTAACTCAGACAGTCCCCGAACTCGTAATAGAACTAAAATAAGGAAAATCAAAATAAAATTATGGCCTAACTCTAAACTGTTACACATACTACGGAGGTACCCTTGTTTGTGCTATCAACAAATAAGAGGACCGTTTAATAAGAACCGTGTCAAAGGGTGGGTGTCAAGGTTTACTAATAGAAGTGAAAGCACTTTCAAATATTCTCTGTTCTCTTATGTAGCGTCAAAGTTTAATTTGAAAATGAACTCAAAAATATAATTTTGAACCCACATAACAAAAGACATACTGTTAAAATATTTCCAGACAAGGATCAAGATGTGGGATGAATTACACTTATAATTGTGCAGATTTTATTCCGTAGTTTCACATAAAATGATGTCTTTAACGTTTCCTAAATTGGTCTCGTAAATATGTTCAATATTTACTTTTTGTTTGAAGTTTGTCATTATTTAACCACAATAATATAATCATCTTAAGCTCAATATATCTTCGTCGTCATGAAACTTGAAACAATTTTAAGATTACTTAAATGGGAAAATTACCTTAAATTGTTCGTGTTTATATTCCAAAAACCCAAGTTCTGAAACATTGTATTTTTTCTCAAGAGGTATTTTTCCATATAGAGTGATTCTCAACCAATTATTTTGTTTACGGATGCATAAAGGATAAAGTTATGAACAATTCAATGGGAAATTTACTGCTTTTTATATGTTGCGTGATCGAGTTCATGTTTGATTTGAGCGACCTATTATAATATGGTCTCAATACTATGAGGCGAAAAAATTTATTTCAAGAAAGCAAAAAGTTTGTTAATACAGTTAGTACAAAATGTAAAATAAATTTAATAGAGAAATAAAAATGCTGTGATTTGCAAAATATGAGGTAAATTACTTTCATTTGTAGATCAATATGTCAAAAAATTGTCTAGTCCGTTGTAAGATGAATATTTCACTTGATTGACTATGAAATAATAATAGTGAAAGGAATTAAGACTAAAAGTGATCTAGCGATCATTTTCCGGTTTCAAATACCATGTTTCAACTTCCGCCTCATAACGTTTCATTACTATCTAACTTGCATAAAGAATTTAAAATAATTTTGTTACGGAAAGGATATTTTATAGACACCGTATCAAATTCATTAATAAAATCTTATCAGAAGGAATTATTCAGACTTTGTTTCAGTTTTGACGCAAAATTCGTAGCCTGATATACTAATAAATTTGAATAAACTCATTTTTATCAAATTTATATGTAAATATTTAACTTCTCCTGGATGCAAGACGATATTTATAATCTTGCAGGGTACCGGAAATTGTTTTGCATGCTTTACAAGTTACCTATCTTAGAATTTTTGCCGCTAAGCCGGGCATGTAGATTATATTTGTGATTCAAGGCTCAACTGTTATGAGAAGATAGATATTGTTATCTCAAATATATGGCCTTATCCTGAGTTCGGGTTTTTCATACCAATTTGTTAAAAAATGGTTGAAAGTGAAGAAGTATTATTTTGTTTAGATAACATTAATTATACTGTGTGTCAATATTTCATTTTATGTACTCATTACACCTATAAGATATACAGGGTGTTAAATGTTAATAGAGTCTCATTACAATTTAAATTTTGTTATGGAGTCTCAATATATCTTAACCCGGTGTTGAATTTAATCTGTTTTTCAAGTTTATTTTACTGTTTTTAAATGCAAGTTTAGGGCGAGAAAACAGGCATCTATAAATTTCCTCTGCAATTTAAAAAATTTTAAGACTCCATGAACATCATATTAAAATATTTTCCCCAAACTACCATTAAACATACACAATTCAATTTAAAATAACACATAAGACCCGATTCTGGATTAGCTAATTATTCCTAGGTAAGCCTCAATCATTATTATATATATATCATTATAATTTATCATTATATATCAATCAATATATATCAATCATTATAATATATATATATATATTTATATATATATGTTAATACTTTATGTGCCGAAAACAACAACATTCCTAACGATAAACCATAGTTCACTTCAAATAAGTCTCTGGACAAGTCGCACCAGCATGTGAGAAGCTAATATGGTATCTGATTTCGCATATAGCATGCTGACCTTTGCTCTCATCATAGATGAAGTGACAGTCAAGGAATTTGAAAGATTTTTGACCTGTAGGGAGCAATTCCCAAAGCAGTATAAGGTGTAGATATATTTCACATGGCTTAATTTAGAATATGACTCAAGGTTCGAATATATTTTTTTAGTTTGAAGTTATGAACCATCAAAAAGCCTTTTGTTTTAATCTAGTGGGTTTTTAGTTTATGACTTATGTCTTAATCTTAGGTGAATGTATTTTTCGCTTAATAGCAACTTTCAATTCATGAAAGCAAGTGCCCATTAATAGATCGAAATAAGGTTAATGTTGTATATTTCTATTTATATAGTTTTAAACCAGTGTCGAATCAGTTGTCATGGCGACAGAAACCATAGATTTTAATTTATAGGTTGTCATCAAAACTTGACTCCAGAGTACAATAAACTGATCAGATAGATAATGTTAATATGATGTCACCATGGATATGTTTTCATCATGCTGTGTTTCACAATCAAACCATTGTCTATCTCTGGTGTAACGTTAGTTGGTTTTATAAACTTAATACAAACTTTGTGTGGCGCTGTGGTTATATGACCTCGTGGATACATTTCTTGTCGTACTCTAAGAATAGAAACTGATGGTAATGCATGTACTGGAGTTGTATAGTTGAATCCCACCTTGTAACATAAACAGTGATTCAAAATTTTGAGAACAGTTCTCATTCGTAACCAGCTCACCAACAACAGATTCCTTCATTCCGGAAAACCATGCCTAACTTATAGCTCTATAACATCACAAGAATATAACATAAGATTACCTGATAAGAACAACTTGAACGTCGTATATTAACTAATTTATGTTACACTATGCATTAGCATTATTCACTCAAATCTAATATATAACTTCTAAAATGCCAAATATAACATGAGTTGTCTAACGTCTAAAAAAAAGATAAGAATGGGTTCGGTGATTATTGCGACTTCCCTCGAACAGGTTTGAATGAACCCTTGCGAACCCACTGGAATCCCATTACTGGAAATGGTGTATATGTAAAGAAAACACAATGGGATACTCTCTAATTAAGCATGATGTGTTAATACACGCCTTCGTCTCATATACGTAGGAGCAGTATTTCTATCTTCATTTGTCATGAACTCAACTATGAGTTCAACTTTTCTAAAAATAAGAATAATCCAGCTTTATGGTTGGTTATTCTTTGTGTTGTCATAATAGTAATGAGAGTCATGAATGCCTTCTTTGCTATACTTTTCTGCTTGGTTTTGTGGGTACCCTTCTGCTGTATATACTACTATACAGAAATACTTGTGGCAGTAACGCAGAAAGGTCAAATATGGGAACGACATTTGAGAACCAGAATAGTTTTCAGTTACCGGTAATCGTATTCGACCTACTGGCAGTACAAATATAAACTATCTTTTAAACATTTTGTTTATGTAAATACTGAAATGAGTGAAAACTTTGAGGCTGAGAAATGGGCGTTTTTTACCACAAAAAATAAAATAGACTATTGTGTACTGGAGTCAATTTATTATTTAAATTATGAAGCACATAATTTTTGAGATATTACGGTTTTTCCTGATATTTATAGGACACAACGTTTTGAATTCTCTATTAGTTTATAATACATTTAATGTTTAACAAATAACAGTTTCATTGTGTTTTGTGAATCAGTGACTTGTGGTTTCTGTGGTTCGTATCAATGTAAACTATACGAGGACTCGAAAACCTACACCTTTTTATTATGATGACATATCATCAGATTATAAAAATGACAAATTATTTCACAAAAATATTGATTCTTACTTAATCCTATTATGTCATAGTTAAGAGGTTGACTCAAAACTCTGTTTTCTTATTACCTGATATTTTGTGGACATAGATTTGATATGAGAAATTTACATCTTTGTGAGGATGATGCCATTAAGCCTTAGGACTGCTTTTGTATCCCACATGCATCAAAGGCAAAAGAATGGCAATAAGCATTGTCATGGCATAGATATAGGATAGGATTCACATATTTACCCAGGGGAGAGGAAAGCCAATAAGATGGCTTAATCATATGGCGAAGCACGCCCTCTCTTCCGGTTACCAGTCCATATTGAATATGGGTTTGATTAGCCAGTGATTTGTTTTCAGAAGCATGGACTTGATGGTGGAGGTAGCCGCAGTCGGCAATCATCTCCCACATAACTATCCCCTAATGATCTTTACTAAAACAGGTTAACTAACACCTAAATAAATAAATATTTACCTGCACTACCACCACTGGCACAAATAACAAGCCATGGAATACACTCAGCCATGGCTTTAGTTCAGTGGTTCACAACATTCCTCCTTTTGTCAGGCAATTTAGACCTATCAACTTAGTCCTGGGTTGTACTTTATAACTGATAATCCATGTTTTATCAGTTCACAACCTACACCAATATTTGAAGAAGAATCAGAGGAAGAACCGGAAGAACTTGAACCAGCATGGAAAAGATTAAAAAGAAATAAAGAATCTGCTGCAAAGAAAAAAGAAGAGGAGAAAGAAGGAAAATGAATCTAAGATATTTTTTTTTAATTTGGAATAGCGATATGGTTGGCAGAAACCCTGCATATATCCAACCAGTTTTTTGTGAGCAAGGGCTGTCGAATGAATCTCTGTTTCATGATCGGAGTTGATTTTTTCAATGATACCAAAAACCAAACTAGTGTCTGTGTCTAGCTTGCTTACATCGCTATCAACTGTATTCTAATGGAAACTAAAGATTTCTCGTTTCCTCCAGATTTTCCTTCACCAGTATATTGGAATATTTTTTCATATGAACAAGGGTTTCGCGGGTTGTATGAATTACAATATGTCTTTTTATGTCTACTTTTTTATTACGGTTGATGCCTAATACACACAATTTTATAAATTGAATTGTGTTTCTTGTTTGTGGTATTAGAATGAATAGGTAGTATTTATAGCATATAGAGGTTTTCAGTCTAGAGAAATGCTCGCCCGGCTCCAAACTGAGAACCAATTTGAAAAAAATGACTGGTTGAGCTCTGAACTTGAACAAACCTAAAATTTTGATCACAGTTCTGTGGAGTGTGAGAGCTTCCTTTAAATTCCTGTCGAGAATGCTCCGTGAACTGTTGATTTGAATTTTCTGTCCGTAATTTGGATAGGGTTTTCGTAGTTGTTCTGGGGGAGAGTGAAAACGCCTTGTCCTGCGAAGCGCAGGTTACCAGTCCACGTCGAGTATGGGAATAGTTACCAGTGTTTGTTTCATATGCACGGACTGGATGGTTGAGGAAGGTGTAACCGGCCAGCGTATGAACTACCACGACGAGGAGTTCAGCAATCCCATCACACACAATTATCTACCACTGGATTCGAACCAGCATGGAGTAACCAGTCAAGCTTATTGCGTACGCATTATTGTGTTTCATTTCCCAGGGGATAAGATCCTTAAATTTTATCCTATCCTATTAGTTGTGTGTAGAACACACTAAATACTGTCATTCCTATTCTTAGATTGTAATTACCGTGTTCATATCAGGAGTGTTCACACAATCACTGACGTTTGCAGAACTTGGCATATAAAATTGGTGCAGTTTTTTCTGTATATATCATACGGGATGAAAAAATAAAACGTTGATTTTCTAGTGGTAATTTCTGTTGTGGGCTATGCGGTGTTCCACTGCACTGCCCAATGCTATGACACAAGGCATCAAAAAGACTGATGAATCGAGCTTCCATGCCAAGGTGCGCGGCGGTGTGGCTCATCGTGCTAAGCGTTAGGAATACGCTCGCCACCGCACCTCTAATTACTCTGCGTGGGTTCGCAGGTTCGAATCCCATGCGGGATGGTTATGTGCCAGAGGATTGCTGGACTCCTCGCCTCCGTAGGGTGGTTCACGTAACCGCTGGTCGGTTACGGCTTCCTCCACCATCAGTCCATGCTCCCGATAAATAAGTAACTAACTAATCCCATACCCGACATGGAATGGTAATCGGACAAGAGGATAAGCCATCTTATCGGCTTCCTTCTCCCCCGGGCTAAATATGTAAATACTATCTAATCCTACACCTGATGCGTGATTCGGAAAGGAGAGAGAGGCTATGCGATTTACACGCTCAGTCTGGACGAGGTTTAAAATACAGAAGTAGCAACTCAGTCATTTTGAAATAAATATCGGAGGAAATGTGGGAGAAATTACCGGAAAATAGTAGGTACGGTAATCGGCGGAAGTTGATCGACACTGCACGACCTTAGTGGGTGTTTTTTCGTGACTGAAACTTCCGCTTTAGAAGACAACTTCTATAACCATTGGTGCGAACTATCACCCAGTCGTGAGCAGAGGATAAAACTATTGCTCATTATCTGTGATCTATATTTGGCTGGCGATCTTGTTTTGGATACATTCCTTGCTATTTCGAGTCAAGTTTATTGTTTGTTTCGCGACGGAAAACGTGACGTGACAAAACCACAATAAAACAATAGAACGCAGGTGTCCTGGTGATCTGCCACAGGCCTTGCAAGCTTTGTCGCAAAACTACGGCTCATACATGAGTGCTATAAGCCGTACTTAGTGTCATTTCAATTCAAAGAGGTTTGCCCAAGGCTACCGGCACAAAAGTATCCGTCATGTATGGAGATAGACGTGATCGTGAAACGAGATTTTGATGAACGTTTGTCAAAGTATTGTCGTGTTACACTTGTCGCTTCCTGATTATAGCGAGGCCTGTCTGTGAGTGAAGTTCATGTCGGGTTCGGCGTATACTTATAGCTAAATTAGTATTGTTTGTTATTATTTTGAATCAGTGCAACACGCAGTGTGTGGCATCGGTCAAATACGAAGCAATCCCAAATATCCACGTGGTAGCATAAACTTGTGGTAAGACAATGTGCTTCAGTAAATTGAGACAAAATATGATATATATAAGAGCAATATTCTTCTAAAGTCATTTACGCTTCAGCTACCTAATATTTGAAGGCGATTTGCCTAGTAGTCGAAAAGAAAAATTGCACAAATTCATTGATAAAAAAAAAATTAGCAAAACGCTGCAAAGATTGCCTTCGAATTAATGCGTAACAAACAGTCACGTGATCAATAGGCGGGCTTGTATGCCCGCTGGAAAACCAACCAAGATCTGTGACTGGGCATAGCTTAGGCCTTGGCTCACCAATATACCGATACCAGTGTATATATATATTTCAAACACACTTACGCAATTCCGTATTGGAATTAGTAAAACAAAAAATGTTGTCATAAGTATATATTAAATTGTTCTTACTGTTTTCGCGTTTGGAGGGAGGTATATCGTACACCTATTGTAAGCTTTTTTGGTTGAAATAAGTTATTTGTTCTGTATTTCGTTCTTCGCAAGATTTCGCCTGGTGTGGTTCTAGGATGCCTTTCTCATAACACTCAACAATGGCGAATGGAAGACATTTCTATTTACCAGTACATCTATCAACAAGATAATCACTAAACCAGCTGAAAATGAACAATATATATATTTTTAGGCAATTGGATAGCAATTTCATAAATTCGACAAATTAAAATTAAGGTGACTATGCTGCAATGACCTTTGTTTTTTGGACGGGTCAAACCGCTCATTTTATAAACAGTATCAGAATTAATTAGCCCATTCCTTAGAAATCTATTTCTGTAGCTTTTGCTGATTTTAGGAGAAAATGACTTAATTTTGATTTTTAGATAAACCGTAATAAAAGCTTTTATTTCGAAAAGGCTCGTTAGTTGGAAAACGAACATTGAAGTCGCTTTCGTTTTATGAGAGTTTTTTTGTTTTTAGTACTTTCCGCATTGTCAGAAATTGGAAAGAATTCGTCTATGTTTATATTGTAAATAATTTCTTGACTTTCATGATAGCCTACGTGCACTTCAGCGGGACATCTAATGATAATATTTTCACAGGTTTATTTGTGGATTTCAGGCCACACAACTCACGGAAGTGGTTTTCCCTGTGAAGCATCCTTCCATCTAAAATTTTAATTGGAACGGATGGGAGTATAATTTATCCAGTGCAAAAAGTTAGCCGAATAAAAACTTCCGGGTCGATTTCTCAGAAAAACAATATTAAGTTAGATTGGCATTATGCAATGTATTTACCTAATGATGTATGTTTTTTTATTAATGGAAAAATGCGTGTCTAAAAGTAATTCGCATTTTAAAATTCTTTTAAATACTAAAGTCTGAGATCGATGATCGAACAACTGTATGGAAAAAGATAAAATCACTAACAGAATCTGCAAATATACAGAATTGGTATAGAAGTTATTAGGATGCCTAATAACCCACATAAGAATTAACAACATTTAATCTTTTGCCATTTTTCACTTAAAAATAAATACTTATGTTATGTGTACATCGTTGTGTACATCGAACAAAATATCTATCAACCGAAATCGAGATAAACGATATTGATTGTTTGATATAAACACATACTTTACTTTGTAATTAAATTCTATCTTGCCATATGTACGAACTCTTTATAAACAAACTTACGGCGATAGGCCCCTACTGGTATAAACACTGAACTGACAATGCAATATGGTAGAATTTCTTTTCTCTTTTGCAGCACAAGCTGTCATTAAATTCTCATACAACATCGGAAATCCGCCGAAGAAATGTAAGTCGTAATAAAGGCCTAGGACACTGGAAGAATCAAAAGCCTCAGATGGTGTAATCCTATAGAATCCATTGCATTTCAGTTGATCCCGTTATGGATTTGTTTGGCGTGAAATAAGCAGTTTGCTAATCCACGATATAATCACTTTTAGTCTAGCAACTTTATCCTCCATAGGAAAAGCCAAATGTGTACCATAGCGGAAGAACGATCAAACTTTGGGCCACACTTAGCAGAGACCTTGACTACTGACTGGTAATTGCATTATTGTAACACAGGGGTCGCCAAGGAGCCATAAAAATATCCCTAAATGAAAATAACTTTTTGAAGCGTATGGGTATTTCAGTACACCGTGTTCATGTGGCTTGTGTTCGGTCTCCAATTACATCTTACACTGGTCGACATAAGACTTGACATTAATCATTTTTAAGTGACAAATGAGTTGGCTGATTTATCATATCAAGATTTTTTATCAATTTAAAAAAAAAGTTATACATTTGTTATATTTCGGGTGTCTGATTGGAGTAAAAGTTCACCCTACTGAAATAGACAATTAAAATGAGTTCAATCAACAATCTAGCTAAAGACAAATACCTTTATAAATCATCATTATTTAGTTTTGGTTTTGTTTTTATAGTATTTTAAAAATTGTGTTATGGATCATCGAAAATATTTTTTTCTATAAGCAATTGACATACACTTTTAGTTTATATTCATAACTCATTGTATTCCCGTGACGATCGAACAATTTCATCAAAATAGACATGTAAAAACATATAAAACCTATAAAATTTGTCTAATGACAACAATCTAGTGACCGAATATGACCTGAAATATTTCTATCAATCCAAAATATTCCAAATTTAAAAATAGCATCGTTCCATTCACAGAAATCATCGCAAGCATCACAATAACCGGAAAAGTTTATATAAACAACAAACGTAATGAGACGCCAAATTGCTTTTGAAAGTTTTCTAAGTGAGCTTGGCGTTTATTTAAGTATTTTCCTCCTCTTAATAAACAACTTTCTTTGATTCAAAACTTGAGAAAGGTGACTAAATCTACATTTTAACTTATAGTTGGGTACACCAAGTACACTCAAGCTCTGTAAACAGACTTAGAAGACAGTTTGTTCATTCCATCTTTATTATACATATATTTTGATTATTATGATGTTTTTAGGCGTATGTAGTATGTATGTATAATATTGATATATTACATAAATATAGGAAAAATATTTTGGCCAACTTTTCGTGTACTCACTCAGAAACAACAATAAT